GAGCATACTTAGTTTTTTAAGAAACTGTCAATCTGTCTTCCAACATGGCTGTGCCACAGCAATATAGGAAAGTTCCTGCTGCCCCACATCTTCACCGGCTTTTGGTGTTGTCCGTGTGTTGGACTTTGGCCATTCTAATAGGTCTGTGGTGTTATCACATTACTGTTTTCATTTGCATCTCCTGGATGACGTATGACATGCAGCATCTTCTCATACTCTTATCTGCCATTTGTATATCTTCTTTGGTGAAGTGTTTGTTAAAGGTTTTCAGTGCATTTTTTAATCCAGAAATTTGTTTGCTTACTGCTGAGTGTTAAGAGTTCTTCACATATTTTGGACAGCAGCCTTTTATCAAATGTGTCTTGCAGATGTTTTCCTCAGTGTGGTTTGTCTTTTCATTCTCTTGAACTTTTGTCGATTTCCACATTAGATTTTGGACTTTTCTCCTAATGATTTGTAGGAGTTCTTTAGCATTAAGAAAACTAGCTCTATGTCAATTTTACATACCACAAATATTTTGGGGGGGGTTTATCTATTTGGATATTAACTGATAACAATTTTTCCCAAGCAAAGTTTTCTTTATTCCAATAAATAGCATAGATCAATCTTTTCCTGTATGCCCTCTGAATTCCTGGCCTAAGGCATCCTTCCTTATTTTAAGATTTTAGCATTCTATCCTTTCTTCAAGTATTTAAAAAGAGAACATTTTTAAATATTAAATGAACCTGGACTTTGGGATACAACTGAAAAGGGGATACAATTTTTTCTGCCCTCCCCACTTCTTCTTCTTTACATGGCACAGCAATTGCCCACAAAACAAAACAAACATTACATTGTATCTTTTCCCCCAGCTTGGAAATGCTCCTTCACCACCCGCACCATGTTGTAGGGTTTTGAGGATCTTTTTTCTAGACTCTTCTGATCTGACTGTTCATGCACTAACATAAAATTGTTATTATTCAAAGAATAAAATGCATTTAATTATCTGGTGACATTAGTCTTTGCTCTCTACTTTGATTTTTCAGAATTTTCCTGGCTTCTATTTACTTTTCTCATTTGTTTTACAGTAACACTGTAGGGACAGTTGATATATTTACTAGATGTTCTGGACAGGCACACATTTTACTTTTGCACCTTTCCTAGTCTGGAACTCTGTGCAGAAATTTTATAAGTAGGTTTATTTACATATTTTTTTACTATTGTAAATGGGATGTTTTAGTACTTTGTTTCCATCATGTTTAGCTAATTGCAGTTTGCATCCACGAGATATATTGATTTGGGGATATTATCCTTGTGTCCATCCATCCTATTGAGGTATGTTATTGTTTATACTGTTTTTTCAATCGAATATCTTGAGTTTTCTAAAACGTCTAGAAAAAATCTTAGTATTTCCACCTGGTTTCCAGTTTCGACTTCTTTCTCTTTTTAACGACATTGACTAGTACCAACAGATCAATGTTAACAGTGGAGATAATGTGCTGCCTCATCTTATTTTTCACTACAAAGGAAATGCTTCTAGTGTTTCAGAATTGGGTATTATTCTGTTTTTTTGGTCTGGTGTCTCTTTGTCTATCTCTCGTCATAAAATTGTTCTGTATTAGTTCTTCTACGAGAACATTATTTCAGTCTCCTCTAGCAGAATATTGGCCCTTTGCAATTTCAATCTGTGGATTAAAGATTTTCAAGCTCAGGAAAGTCTTAGATTATATTTCAGAGGGTTTATCTTCTTTTGCTTTCCTTTTTCTGATCTAATTTTTTTCCTGGTCTTATCTTGAGGAATCCCAGTATTTCATATACGGATCTCTTTTGTTTCCAGATTCAACATTTTTTTTTTTTTTAAACTGGAGTTTACTTGATGTTCTTAAACTGTTTTCCATCTCACTGACACCTTGTACCAATGTATGCAATATAAATTTGACTTTCCTGTTTTACAATTCTTTTCTGAGCTCTGAAAAATCAGTTTTAAAATTCTATTTTCTTGACTCTTCTGTGATCACTAAACTTCTGGTTTTGATTCAGAAGACCGTATTTCCTTTAATATGTTTGGTTTCTTGAAGAGCTGTTTGTCAATACTTTCCTAACAATTCTTTACCTAGGTTAAGACTCTATTCAAGCCCGGCTGGAAATCACAGGTTCACAAGGAAGCCCCCTATGTCATGGTGTGTGCAATGCTTTATAACTCTCTTCTACTGGTCATCAAAATTTTAACCCCCTAGTCCATCAAACTAAGAGTCTTTTCTTAGCAATAATGGCATACCGAGTTTCCTCCAGTCCTTCTATTAGGTCATTCTGCTTTCAAACAGAACCCAAGGATGCTCCAGCAGCCCCTTCACTAACACAGTTCATGCCACTGTAAGATGTGTCATTGACTTGGCACCTCAGAAATGTTAAGCTACTCTTAGAGATTCTAAGTGCTCATGAAAGATGTAACAACATGATGTCCCTCTCTAATTGTCCTCTCTCAGTTAGATCTAATTTCACTGCAGTGGCCAAATCTTCTCTATCAATTATGGCTTGGGACTGTGATTGTCTCCCGTTGTCATAAAAGATGGACTTTCATTCACGTTTTTCATCCTTATTGATTTTAGTCTGTTTAAAGCAGAAAGCAAATCTATCATCTTTAGCTTTGAAGTTCTAGCAGCAATTCTACTAAAATTTTTATTTATGCTATGAACTGTGTTACCAAAGATTCTTAGATTTATTTAGCTAAGTTTATTTAAGTTTTGTAATAGGCCTTTTTAGCTTTACTAAATAACTTTTCATTCTCTTACACAATAAAACGGTTTCTGAATTTGATATAAGATGAAACACTTTAATCATCAAGTCTTGCACCTGTGGCCCTGTTCTTTGTTGGAGTTATCCATCTACTCTTCACACTTTATTAACTTCAGTGATATTATGTAATGCTTGAGAAAAATGTAGGCAAAATATCTAACTGCTGTCTCTTCTTTACTAAAACTAACTCTCTTAACCAGAGACATTCATATAATCTGTATAGTCTTCAAATAAGAGAAATATTATGAAGCAAGTTGTTTTAACATAAAGTTTAATTTATACTGTAGTATAAACTAAGTAAGTTGCAACATACATGCAACTGTAATTTTACTGGAATAGATATGATATGTCTAATGAAATAAGAACCTGACAGATCTACAGATTTTTAAATCTATTTACTTCCAAATAACTGGTTGGGAATATCAGGTTCCATGGAGTGGTAGCTACTATTCTAATTATACTTTTAATTCAGTAGTCAACATGAAATTAAATGTCTACAGCATATTAACCCAGTGACAGCAGGAGAAAGCTCAAGTTGCCTTGGAGGCTCATTCAATTAAATGGTGGGAGTCAAATAACTAATATAACTAATACTTTAGGAAAAGAGATCAGGAAATCACCAGGAAAAGGTCTGTCAGAAAAGAAAAAAACAGAGAATGAACTGAAAATGTACACGACACAGCATCAGAGGTGAATACACACATACACACACACATACAAGAGGGTATAGGGAACCTGGGTAATAAAGGCAGGAGAAGTATACTTTAGCAGGACCAGAAAAATAGCTGGACAAACAACTTCTGAATAGACAGAAAGAGCAAAGTACTGTATGGCTGAAAGAAAATAGAATTGTGTAATTAAAACAAAGGGAGTAGCAAATATCCTAAAAATAGCAACCAGAACAACACTATGATGAGAGAAATTGTCTTAGGCAGATATATCAATTGTCTGTTTTCTCACTTATTTCAATTGCATCCTGCTTCACAAAGGCTTTCAGTCAGTTTTCAAAATCCATAGACAGTAAAATCATTAGACAAGAATGAATGAAGGAAAATAATCAGGATGAGAAGAAAAAGAAGCCAGTGGCGGGGGATGGGGAGGCAGTGGTTAGTAAATAATAGGCATGCCACACAGTCCTATTTACAGTCTCAAGAGCCAAAGTAAACAGGAAAACATGATCTATTACAAGATTTCCAGGGGCCATAAGGAAAACGATCCAGATGCTCACCAGAAGCACATGTATTGAGACTTCTGTGAAATTTACCTTATGTGTTTTTAATCAAGAGAACAGACTGTGTGATGAAGGAGATGATGCTTTCAATGTCATTTCTACAATAAATATGATATAAAATTCTGAGTGATGTTACCATAATTTCTCTCAGTTCACTCCAAATCATAGCTGCATAAATATTTCAGAAGAAGCAATTATGCAAATGATCCAGATAAGCCACTCCCAGATGGTCTGGCTTATCCAAGAGCAAAATTTAGAATATCGAGAGAACCTCATATCCTTTAGATAATCCTCAATGAATATTTTCACAAGAAATAAATCATACATGAGAAAGTCTTTCATAATACAGTCTTTGTTTACCCAGAGATAATTTGACAAATAATTTCTGTCTAGACAAAGCAGCCAATTAATTACATGTTTTCTAAACTAAGCTACTCATGATTAAATAACTTCTCCTTACCTTATTTTCTGCTGGTTCCCCCTTTTCTTCTCTGGGGAAAGTTATTCCATTTTATAAAATGTGAAAGGAATTATTCTTACAAATAGCTCCCTGGGTGGTGGTTTAAATTTTGTTTATAGGGTAACTCTGAAAATGCTATAAACTTAGAAATTGCAAGCGTGCCTTAGTCTCACTAAAATAAGTACCTGAATTGAACATTCCTAAACTCCAGCCCTTTATGTAAGTCTTCTTTTTTCCCTTCTTATAGGTGGAAAATAGCATTGCTGACTTAAAGAAGCAGTATCATCTCACTGAGAATCTCCTAAGCTTTAGATTTTGACAGGAAAATTTAAATGAACTCTAGTGGTAGAGTGCCTAAGTATGAACAAAACAGAAATAACTTCAGGAAACCCACAAACATTTAAGTGCCTTAAAATGAAAAACGCCCCCTTGGGGGTGGCTCACCCTAGGTGGACACACATGCGAATTTCAGGACTTCCAACCACAGGTCTTAAAGGCTCTCTAACACGTGGTCTTGACAGAGAGATAGCTTACCTCAAATCAGCAGCCTTCCCCGTCTTGTTCGTGCACATAACCTCTCTGGTCTGGTATCCGATCTGGATGTCCCAGTATCTGTTCTCCTGGCGGTTCTGCCTGTTTCTGTTTCTCTTCTTCTTGATCAGCTCACGGGCCTCTGGATCCTTGACCCCTTTCCCGCGGTCCCTGGCCCGCTCTCTACTCTTCCCGCGCCTCCTGGCCTGCCTCGCTTGTCTCGAGTGGGGCATCGAGCACGTGCTCCAGGGCCCCACGTGCAGGCTGTAGCCGCGCTCCTCGGCCTCGCAGGGGCCGGCCTGGCACACCTGAAACTCCGTCAGGTTCGGGCACCCCGAGCCGCCGAACTGGGGGGGCGCCACCACGTGACGCGTCCGGTGCTGGAGCCCGCTGCCGCAGGTCTTGGAGCACTCCGACCAGGCGGAAAACTCGGACACGATGCAGTCCTGCCGGCAGGGGATGAGGCAGGCCTGTTCCAGGAGCGGCTTGGGCTCGAAGTACTCGCAGATGATATCCTCCGCAGGGACGTCGTTCTCTTTCTCGATGCACGTTATCTCCCGCACCTGAATGCCCTCCTCTCCCTTAACGCACTCCAGCGGTTTCTCCAGGCTCTTTGAAATCACCGGCTGACACTGATTCCACGGGCCCAACCTCCAGTCGTACAACTCCTTGTGCCAGTCACAGACTTTGAAACAATTCTGCTGGTTACTGGGTCTCTCGGCCGGCTTGCAGTTGCTATGCAATGTCGTCCACCCTTCCACATGCGCACACCACACTGCGCGGGTCTGAATGCCTCCTGGGCCACATCCGTCTCCCATGCATCGGCCCCACGGACCTAAAAAAAATACGAGAGTTCACAGCGCTACTAGAAGAAAACCACACATGACTTCACGGTCCAGAAAGACACTTCAAGATCTAGAACGTTAACTTCCCTGAAGCGTGGTAAAGCAGGTCTGTTTACCGGGCTGTTGGAAAGTTATGATCTACACTCGATTCTTGCGGAAGGTGAACTGTGTCACAGAATTTATATAAGGTAACTGCTGGGACAGATCCACTTTGAGTCCTTTTGGGATTACTGAAAACTTACTTTTATGCTTTGTCTTAATGTGAGGTAGAAGAGAACCCTTGCTCATAAAGGTCACTAGAAACTAGCCACAGCGAAAACCAATTACACTTGCCTTACATCCATCACATTCATTTCACTAACTAGCAAAAAAAATGACCCCTTGTGAGGAACTCTGTCTCCTGCAGGCTTTTGTTTTCCTGAGCAATTAACTATTTTGTACAATGTTCTCTCTTCTCCCTCGTTTTCCATTGCTCCACCTCCTATGATCTCAAGAATTTATTAGTTCTACACATGTGTTGACAGAAGTGTTTACTTTCTGGTAACCAAAGCTGGGGAGTGAAGAATCTTCATTTTATAGCACATTCTGCCTTTAAGTTTAGCAAAAAAAATTTTTCTTTCTCATCTCTGCTAGTAAAATGTACAGATGGGCAAGAGGATAAAAATTTAGCTAAAAGACTTCTGTAATTTTCTGCATCTTAAAAGGTTACTTCACATTTTATCAATTTATTCATTTCCTAAATATGAGCTATGTGGTGGCATTATAGAGCAATTTTATGGAATACTTAAGTCCGAGGCTTTAATATGAAATGTGGGCTCTTAACCTTAGAATCCTTCTTATCATAGATTAAAACCAACTTATATTTGCATATATCATTTGTTTTTTAAAGATAGGATTCTCAGGGCTTTGACAGACAAATATCAATTTACATAATTGAGATTACATTATTTTGGAATTTTAAAGAAATGTAAAAATCGTAGAGTCACATTATTTTCAAAATGCATCCATGGCATCTGAGGGATTATTTGGTGTAGACTAGAGCATCTTCAATAGGTTATGCGGGAAGGGGACAGGCAGCATACAGGGTTGGACTCTCGGGTCACTCAGTACCACCCCACTGTCCTCCTTCCTCATGGCTTCTTCCCTAAGAAAAGCTCCATTAATAGCATTCATTTTTAGACATGTTGAGATTATATATATATATATATATATATATATATATATTGTTTGAGAAGAGGCTTCTGTCTGAAAAGTAAAAAACCACTAAACTAGGCCAGCAGGTTCACTCTATGGATGAAGAAAACAAGTGCCAAGGAGAAGTGACTTGCCAAGTTCACATCTGAAATGAATAACTAAACCATCCTGGATTTCAGATTCAAGTTCTGACTTTTATTTTTATGATTTATCCTAGATTTTAGAGCTTTACAGTTAAATACTCCCGTACAAAATTAATCTACAAAGAATGAGATATGAAGAATGTGCTTCTATTTAAATGTTTAATTTTGTTTAACTAGGAAGATGTTTACAACTTGGGAAGATGTTAACTTCATTACAAATGGAATAGTGGAGTTGTAAATAGAAGAGAGATTGATTGAAAATATTATTCTAACTAATCACAGTTGCATGAAGATAAGAATTCGATATGTGGCATACCCATATCATTACTTTATGAACTTCATATGCATATGTAATGAGTCATAAAGGGCTTCACATACATTTATGGAAACGGTCCTCCCATAGTACTGATGTCAAAACTTTATGAGCCAAGAAGGTCAATGAATTTGTTACATTTTTAAACATAGAATACCTGATAGTATGTTCATATTACTTTTAACTTATCAAAGGAAAATATGTATTCAGAAATCTGTTGATGCTTGCTTAGAGATTTTCTAAATAACCAGTTTGAGAATCAGAATATGGGACGCTTCTCAAGTGAACATTGTGATATATATATATATATGTGTGTGTGTGTGTGTGTGTGTGTATATATATATATAATTTTAGTTACTTACATACATCTTTGCTATCTACTCATTTTCCTGATTGTACCTGAACAACAGTAATCTTTACTTCTCAACCTAAACACAGTACATAAAGACACATTTATGTTAGATCATCAAGTTATGAGTTACATACCATTAAATCTAAATTTCAAAATATAAGAGTCTTGAACTAACTCAAAGTATAAAACCCAGCTATAATTCAGGAGAACTTCTTAATAATTCATTGTTTTCTAATTCTTGATATAAATATGAAATCAGACTGAATAGACCACATCAGATTAGGACTATTAAGAAGTTAGTCTTTTATCCTCCAAGTAAAAATAGAAGTTACAGATTTGCCACTTAAGAATATTTAATTGTACTCCTTAAGTAGGTTGCACTACTACTAATGGGTATGCTTCAACTAACTGATGAAAATATTTTATTACAGACATCTGATTATACAAAATGTTAACTGGCTTTAAGTTTGTATGTGATTATTGAGTAAGCAAACACACATAACTAAAAAACAAACCATCTGAACTTAGGAAGCAGAAATATACACTACTAGTTAACTATTAAGTTTGAAAGTTACTCGACATAAATAAGGATGGGTGAAGCTCTGCATGTTTCTCACATCATGTTTACTACTATTTCAGTTAATTTACTAAATAATAGTTTGGCAATATCTGTTAATCACATTAGACTCGTTCTATGGCCCCTTAACAATAGAACTCTGCATATTTTTGCAAAATTTGGCTTGATCATATCTTTTTAATTTTCATGGCTGGCTTCTGAATGAATTTCCTCAATTATTTTGTTCAGGAAAGAGAGAGTTTATTTTGTAGATCTTTTTATTCAAGGCATTAGTTACATGCTTAGGGCTTCCCAAGTGGCACCAGTGGTAAAGAAGCCGCTTGCCAAGGTAGGAGATTTAAGAGACACAAGGTAGGAGATTTAACCCAGGATTGAATCCCTGGGTTAGGAAGATCCCCGAGAGGAGGGCAAGGTGACCCACTGAAGTATCCTTGCCTGGAGAATCCTATGGACAGAGGAGCCTGGTGAGCTATATAGTCCATAGCATTACAAAGAGTTGAACATGACTGAAATGACTTAGCATTACATGCTTAATATCAATGCCAACAGGAAAAAAACTGAATTCAAGGAAATGTCTACACTATTTCATACACACTGATAATGAATAAATATTTCTAAAGTTTTCTTAGATATCTAGAAAGAACATATATTCTATATACAAATTCAATTTTCACTTCAAAAATATTATCATAGATTCCTATTAATCATTTAATTATAGATAACATTGTTGGGTTTATTTTATTCCAAGTATATTTACACTGAGAACCAGGAGGTATCCCAAGAAAATTCTAGAGATCTACAAAAATACTCACTAGGTTAAAGGAAAAGAAATGCATGAGGGCACCAGTGAAAGCAGAGGTGGCAATGTAATCACAACTGAACTTAAATAAAGCTCATTCACGTTGCAGGCTATCTTATCTGTGTTCTTATCTTCTCATTGCACCATGGGTATTACACTTGTGTCCAGTTGAAAAACCAGATCTTCACCAATGTATACCTGATAAAGAGCTATATACTTCTGTCCTCCATGTGCTATTAAAATAATCACACATTGAACAGAAAGGGGATCACATCTAAAATTGTTCTTGACAGCTAAGAACTGTCAGCCCAGTTAGCTACCATGTTTTAAGAACTACAAATATTTTGAAGTACAATTTGAAAGCACAGCATTGAAATTCTATCGAGGAGAACATGAAGTTGTCTCCCAAATATAATATGAGAATGTGATATTTTTAATTTATATATCTCTGAATAGATATTAAATTGTAGCCCCACATCTTATATTACTTAGAGTGGGAAATGGTGTTGGAAATGGTGTGTGTGTGTATCAGGATGTTTGATTTTTTTATTTTTTAACAAGAGTAGAAAGAATTTACATTGGTTTGAAACTTGCTTCATTTATTGCTCCTGTTCATGATTATTTTCAGAGAACTAGGAATCTAATTGTACAAAATAAAACATAGGTAGCTTTTTACTTGAGGGCTTGGGTAATATTCCTTTATGAATGGAAATGTATTCCTGCATACAGATTTATAGGACTGTGTTCATTCAGTATCACGCAAAGCGCTTTTAAAGATGCAGGTCAATAAATGTATGTAGAACACTTAGCTTGACAGATTTTATGTAAATTGAGAAAAAACACTGGATGTCTTATTCCAGCAAAAAGAAGTTTCAACAACTGTTTACATATACAAAATATTTATGTAATTGTTAGATTCACAGTCCAAATATTTTCACTTGGAACTGATGCAAAATTATCCAAAATTGTTACAACAACTTTAAATGAATTCTATGTGGCTTAGTTTTCTACTGGCTAGTGCTTTAAATATGATTCTTAACTAACTTTCAAAAAATGTTTATAAAATAATGAATTTATTTTTATTCCTGCTAAAGAGGATTTCATAGCATGCCTATTCTCTTCATGTCATTCAAAACTCTCTCTTTATTTCAGTCTACAAAAGACAGTCTTTTAAATTTAAAATTAGTATGTTGCCCACCATATTCAACACGACTCCTTCTAAGGTTGCTTTTTTTTTTTTATATGTCAAGGGCATGAGAACAATAAAAGGTTGAGTCTATAAAAGGCCACATTATTGACAGGTGGCTAGCAACTGTTCCAAAGAGCCTTATAAAAGATAAACACTATAAAAGGAGCATAAGAAAATTATGCAAACTACTTTCTGTCCTTGTTTGCTATAAAACTCTCAAATGAGCCAGTTTCTTATTTGACTAAATATGTTTGCATTCTTCAAATGAGATGGTGCATTTTCCCTCCTGGATTTGGTTATGGAACAGCATGTCCTAGTTTACTAAGATCAAGGAGTGCACAGCTTTGTAATATACTGTATTCTGTCTCAAGATTGCTGCACCATATTTTATTTTTGAAATATACAAGTCACAGAATTA